TATAAATGTTATGACTCACAGGCAAGCTTTTATTTATTTATGTTTTTGGGTGTTGGTGGTGTTTGGAGAATGATTGAGACTCGTCTTTAACACTTTTTCTGGTTACCCATATTGAAAATAGGTGAATGTCAGAAGACTTGGTTAACCAAAATTGTTTTATCTTCAGATTTGAGACTAGGATTAAGGAGGTTCTTTAGTTAGTTAACTGATAGGTGGACTTTAGTGCAAAAATGCATGTGTGTTCAGCTATTCGCTGTGTTGCCCTGCTGCAGTAGTGTATGCTGGGCAGGCTGCATAGCAGACTGAGGCCACATGGGAGTTCAGGGTTCAATTCCCAGCCAACCCTAAAAACAAAAATCTTAGCAAAGTGGCATGAATCTAGCTAATCAGGAAGCCATGGCAGAAGGATCATGAGCTTGCAGCAGGCCTGGGCCACATAGTGAGACCTGGTCTGGAAAAAAAAAAAAAGGGCATGGTGGTACACAGTCCCAGTTGCTTGGGAGGCTGAGGCAGGATGATTGCGACACAGCAAGACCCTGTCAAAAAGAAAAAAAGGAAAAAAAAAAAACCTTTTCCCAAACCCCATGCTTCTCCCCACAGGACAGGCACCACCATGCCCGCCCATGCTTCTCCCCAACTCCGAATTTCTATAATCTTCTAAGGCAGATTTAAAAATCAAAGAATCTCTTTTTGGGTGCCATGGATTCCTTTGGTAGTCTGGTGACTTCTGTAGGCCCCTCCTCAGAACAGTATTTCAAATGTATAATTATAACACAGTACACAGGCCTACAAAGAAAGCCAATAAAAAATAATTCTCAAAATATTAATTCAACATTTGGGATAAACTAATAAGTATGAATTTTAATTAATCTGTTATCATTTCTAATACCTATTAAATTTACTTCTGTTGGAAGTTTGTTATAGTATTTCTTGTAGCTTGTTTTACTTTTTTTATTTCACCTGCTGCTCATTCAGAAAATAGTTATTTTTTGAGCTCATAGTTTGGGTATCAAGTGTGAGTAGGCAGGAGAAGGTGGGTAAATGAACTCTTCTGCCCTTAAGTAGCTGATGAAATGCTCTTTTATTTTTCATAGAAGTGAGAATGTGAACACATGTGTGAGAGAGGGAGAGAGAGAGAGAGGAGTTTTTGATGTGGTCTTGCTGTCTCGTGATCCTTCTGTCCCACCTCTCAGTTAGTTAGGACTACAGGCATGTACCATTAAACCTGGACAGGAACTGAGCCTGGACCTCCTGTGTGGCCTCAGCCATTGTACAGTGGCACTGTCACACTTGGGCCACTATGACTGGACTTTTTGTTTCTTTTTAATAAACTAACCTAATTTTACGGGAATTTGGCATAGGTTACTGATGTGTAATATCTGTCTTGTGGTTTTTCTTGGTGTAACTGGGGGTGTGTGAGTATGTATGTGTGTGTGAGAGAGAGTGTGTGTGTGTGTGTGTGTGTGTGTGTGTGTGTGCTCTTCTGAGTTTTGCTTTATGGCTTGTAGCTTAAAGGTTTAGAAAACACTGAGAAAAATCCCTGTCTTGCCTGATCATGTATTGCCTGGAGCTGTCACTAA